AAGATGAAGCCCATGTGATGAAGTTTGAAGATACCTTATGTAAGAGGGTGGAACAGTGTGAGTTGGCAAAAGGGTGTGAAAAGAAAAGGGGGGGAAGAAAGAAAAGAAGAAACTTTAGGTGCTGCAATGAAAATAGTGAATAGAGAGAGAGAAAGAGAAGAATGAAATGGGTATTCCTTAAAATGGAAGAAGAATGAAAAGGGTTGGTATAGATTTAGTTGATAAACAAGGCAAAGCAACATAATAGCAAACTCATTCAAAAGAACAAACACACAAGCATCATAAGAGAGAGAGAGAGAAGAGTTTTGTGTTATGTTTTTGTGTTCTGTTCCTTTTTGTGGAGAGAGATGGTGCGTGATGGCGCGTGTCGCTTTTTATTTTAATAATGTTTTCTAGGTTCATGCTTCATTCAATATGAACTTCAAACAAGTTGTTGATCTAATAGTATGATATATAATATTATTAAATATCGGATAGATCATAATTTGGATCCACTTCCTGAGAGTAATATTAGTTGGTGAGGTAGATATTTAAAAAACAATGACCTTAAGAAAAAACAAAATAACATATACTTTAGAAAAACAAAATAATCTAATGGGTCTATTCTTATTTTTTAATTTTAAATTTTAATTATATATTTTATAATAATAAATATATAAAAATAATTATTATTTTGATAATATGTTGTTCTTTTATTATTATAATCCAATAATTAAAAGATATTATTAAAATAATAATAAATTAGACAAAATATAATAAAAAATAAAAAATTATTTAATTAAAAACTAAATTTATAAATACACAGATCTCGCGGGTTGAATATCATGATATTGTTTCCATGCATAAACCATTTTTATGTCTACCCATTACAATATTTTTACAAGTACCATAGTTCATATATTTTTACTATCCCTATATGAGATCGGGTTGAAGGAATATTTTAATAAAAATCATTATTTAAATTTGGTAGAAGACACATTTTTTATGGTTAGTTGGTAACTGAATAAGGCTCATAAAAATAATATTTTATATGTGTAATTTATTTACCAAATCTGATAAGAAAATGTAATGGGGAGATATGAATTATCCTTTCCTTTTGCCAAGTTATACAATTTCATACGTTTCTGACCATAGGAAGCCAAAAATATTCGATTATTCCATTTACATTTATGTAACAAAATTAGAATAATTTTTTTTATAACAAAAATACTCTTTGTAGATTTTAAAACCTTAAAGAAAGAAGTTTTGGATATATTGATCATTGGGCTCATAATTGCAATTATGACCCAAAAAGGTTACTTTCCCTTCTTCATCTTCTTTCAAATCTCTTCATTCTCATCCTTATTTGTCTTTCACTAATTTATTATATTCTCAATAATTGATCAAATTTCTGTAACAATTAAGATTAAGGTGTATTATGAATATTTGTTTAGATCTTGAGATAGATCTAATAATAATGAGTAATAAAACAAGATCCATAGTGTAGGATGTTCTAAAATTTCTCTACCTATTGGATCTAAACTACACATACATATGATACAATATAAACTTGAATTTAACATTCAATTAAGACACAAAACATTCCATGTGAGTAGAGCAGCTGAAAACATTTAACATGGAAATTAATGATATATTTTTGATAAAATTAATATAATAATTGCAGATCCATAAATATCGAATCTATAAAATATCAAGATTCACCTGGAGTTTGAGGCCCAGTTTCGATTCCGCCATGGTGGTTGTTGAGGGTATCGCCCTCGATCTCGCCATCCAAATGTAGCAGCTTCTTTGCCGGTATTATTACAGTAGACGCCGTTTCGGCGACTCATGTTCTCAGTAAAGTGAGAATCATAAGATTAGGTTAAGATATCTGTATATAAAGTTCTGAATTCAGTTTTCGGGTCTTGGACTATTTGGTTTGGGCCGAGCCTAGTCGAATATCTATTTCGGCCATATATGATTTTTATTTCTTTATTGCTATTCTCTCTTATTACTTATATTTTTCATTGCTTATCTTATATTCTTCATAGCTTTATAAGGAAATAACACTTACTAGTCATAAGGTTTGTCATGATGGGAGAAGCATTTCCTCTAGCTTTAAAAATGAACTCCTTTGTCCATTAAAAACTAATGAAAGTTTTTAATATGTGCATTCAACATAGATAGGAGAATGAGAAGAAAAACTAGTTAATTTTAGATGGATTTTGTCATTTGAGATATGAGTACAACACAAAAACAAAAATAGAAAAATTCGGTAGCATCTTTTAAGGTAAATGTAGTTTTCTTAATAAATACATTATTTATTTCTTTATTCTACATCACAAAAGCAATGCGTGGAAAAAATAATAATTCATTTCCCATTCAAGACAATTATTTCATAATTATGCTACAAACAAATTGGTTTAGCTAGAAAGAAAAGTATGAATAATCATGAATAATGAGTATTATGTTGAGCCTCATCATCACCAACTTTCTAAGGCTTTTAATTTGGTTGAACATGATGCTAATTAAATTAAGTTAGAAATGTAATTAAAAAGATGTATATGGCTCAAAAGGCATGTGAAGAATCAAATGTTAGAAACACACAAAAAGTAACTTAATTACCAAGAAAGTGTTTGTTTAGTGGTGTAAGACTCCGTTATATCACAGAATGACCAAAATGTTAAAGACTCAATTTTTCTGAGCAACACTTGTTGAGAGAGACAGCCAGTTACGTATCTTGTATCTTGTTAGGTGAATGAAATAAAGAAAGAATAGGTGAAAAGGGTGATGGTAGTGGGAGCAGCACTATAGCTGAATTCAAGCCTCTTTCCACCAAAGCCACCTTAATTATGCATAATAAGTCACCTCTCACTTCTCTCTCTCCAATATCATTTTCAACACTTTGAAAAAACAAACTTCAATAAAATGGGTATATAATAATTATCAAGTTTCTCAAAAACAATAATATTGTTCCATTTATGTCGATCAAAATTTGTTTAAATGTTGTGATTGATTTGTATGGTTAAGCATAGATTATTTTTTAAGGAACATTTCGTGAAAAAAGCTTTACTATATTTTATTTCATAACATGTGGAGTACTTTCTTATAACTTCTTCCAACTATACACTACAGGATTGTGAAAATGTGATAAAATAATTAAGGATCCACTTCATCATGACCCACTTCTACAATTTTTTACTCATTTTTTTCCCCATATATACATTTTTATAATTACATGCAAATGATGTTTGTTAATGAAAGAAAGTAAGAAATGAAGGTTTAGGTATGCTTCTTACTAATTTTATTACTCCTTTGATATGATTTGTTTATAAAATGGACAGCATGTAATAATACCTAAGTTCATAAACTCTTAGTATTGGATATAGTGTTGCACACCCCTTTGGTTTAAAATCAGACATATAGAGCATGCATATTGTAAAATTGGACATTTATGGGTGACTCAATATCTTAATATATAGTGATAATATTATATTAGAATAGTTAGATATTTCACATTCTAAATTGTTAGTATACCTAATACACTCCTCTCATATTAGAATAATTATATATATATTAAAACCTAGCTCATGTGAAGGTGGTCCAAGTTATAATAAATGATTATTTTTTCTATCATGCATTTGATCCATGTGTGAGATTTCAATACTCAACTAATATTAAAGTTATATTTGTTGGTATATACATTTTCAAATGAAATGATATAAAGTATATGCCAACATGGTGAGCACCCTAATTAAAGTGGCAAAACTAACCATTTATATAATATGAGACATGCAAGTAATTTAGCCCATACTTACATCACTTAAAGAAGGAAACAAATAGGAGAAAAACATAACAAATTTTCAAGGCTACACCTACTATCTTCATTTGATTCTATGACAAGAGAAGCAATTTTATTAGGTAATGTAAAAATTAATTTGGCTGTGTCATTGTTTGAATAAGGTGCTATATATTTTGACTTTAGCACTAGTGATGAGGTGAGATATTAGGCAAAAAGTGCTTGAATTGGAATCATTTATTGAATGGAAGTGAAGGGTTTGTGATTGGATTGGTTAGGTTGGTTTTGGATGGTGACAACACTACACTTAATTAATTGTTTTCATTAACTAATGTCAACACTCATGTCCTCAATAAAACCACCCTTTTCACTACAATACTCTTTTTGAGTGAACTCCTTTAATATAAATACTAAAAATCGATTCTTATAATAGTCTCTTACATATACAATCTCAATATCCCTATTTCAATGTATAATTGATTTCTAAAGAACATGATTAATGGGAAGGGTGCCATTCTTTTGAATAATGATGTGTAGGGCCAGTGGAGATGGAGAAGAAGAAAACTTCTACCAACAATAATGCCTTTCATTGTAGGGTACATCAGTTTTACTTCCCTCGTGTATGTCATCAAAAATTAACACTATGTGCTGTTTATATTAATTACTATTAGCCATTAGGTCCATTAATTAGTTATGTGTCAATCAGCGCCAATTACCCCACAAAGAAAAAACATGCATCACTTGTAATGGTGGTACCATATTTGATTGCACAAACAACAAATATGGTTGATTTAGAAGAAGAAATAATGTCATTGATTAATAAGCTTGTAACATTAGAAAAAAGGTTGTAGTATTGGAATTAATCAATATTGGACAATTTCAAATTAATAGAATTTTTCTAATGATATCTAATACTACTATTTTCGAATAACTTTTCTTAATACTTGTGTTTTGGGTAGAGTGACTATGGTGTTATTTGCGTAAAGGAGAATGAAATTTGAATTGATAGGTAAACAATTAAGAAACAGTGTACAACAAGTATAAGAAACAATAGAAAACGAAAAAACAAGTGATGAACGAAGATAAGATCTCAACCGTTGGTTCAAACCCTTGAACTTGAATACCATAATCTTCACCATTCATTTTCATTATCGTTCATCGTTCACTTGGACTTAGATGAATGGTTCTGTGTTTGTTAGCCACTAAACAACACAAGAACCCTGACGCCGTTAACCCTTTACTCCCAGCTCCCGCCAATTCCCTAACGCCGTTCCATTCCGTTAACGCCGTGGACACTGTTCTAGGAGAAGATGTTGAAGACGACGCCGTTTCAGTCGATTCTGATCCATCCGTTAATGACTCCGTGAAAGAACCTTCATATGAATTATTCTCGCTTGAATTTGAACTCTTCAGTTTCCGTTCTTCTAACTCCGGTTCGGTTTTTTTCCGGTTCACTTGAATCTTCTCGCCCATGAGATCACGATAACCTATCGCTGATATCTTCTTCTTCAACACCTGAATCTCTGAACCGTCGATTAGCATAGCTCCGATATTCATTACGCCTTGGAACCTTCCCGACGGCCGGCGAATCTGTACGGCGGAGAAGCACGGTGTTATTCTCATTGAATCACCATCGAGGATGTTGCTGATAAGGAATCGAACAGTTCCGATGAGATGATCGCGGAAGGTGCCGACGGCGTAGATAGCAACGCTGACGCCGGAGGTTTCAGAGGCGAGGAAGTCCGGGGTAACACGGAAGAGGAATTTGTCGTTCCAAGTAGGATTCTCGCCGCCGACTCTGTCGATTCTGGTACGAAGCTTGGTATCGGAGTGAATCCAGGTGAGAGCGTAGGTGTGGAATGTTCGGCGTGGAGATGACGGTGGTTTCAAGCCTTGTGCTGAGATCAAGTTAATCTCCAATACAATGTTATTCATATTCGCCGGCGACGGCGACGACGACGACATTGTTATTCTGTACGTGTAACTAGAACGCCGTCATTTTCTTTTTTCTTTGTTTATTTCTTTGATCTCCGGCAAGATCAAACGGTGGAGAAAGGATAGAGAGATAATAATAAGAGGGAAAGAGTGGGACCTACCAATATATATATATATAGTTAATTAAAATTGAAATAACAGAAATGAGGTTAGGGGTGATAGGTTTAAAATGCTACTAACCAACTACCAGATAACTAATTTTACACCTATTATACATCTCATTATTAAATATCTTTTTTTAATATAATTTGTCTAGTAAGGTATATGATTAAGCCAACAACATAATTTAGATGTGTAGGAGTTATATTACAAACTCATAATTGATGAATTGAATGTCATGATTATATCATTAGATGAATCCCCTCCCTATTACAATAATTAATATTTAGTAGGGAATGAAAGCCCATTAGATGAAAGGCCCATAAAATAGGAAGACGTGTACTTCGTAGTTTTCAGTGACTCCTGTGAGTCTTTGCAGTCCACACGAACACAATCATCTTCTTATCTATTATTAATAATACCACACACCTTTTCTCTCTTTCTTTCTTTCTCATTCCTTTCACTTTTATTATTATTATTATTGTACCTGCTTTTCATTAGGCACATTTTCCCACTACACTCATTTCTCCATTCTATATTTATAACAAACTTTATAACAACTTATACATATCTATGCAATTACTCTACCTATAAAATTGATGTTGCTGATTTACACTAACTTTTATTAATTTATTTTGCAGAGTGATTTAGAAGTGAGAACATATTATACATATGTATGTATTATGGCAATGTTGAATGCAAGATCAATGTTGCTTTCTAATCTTCAACATGGTGTTACATGCATTGTTCCTAATAATGCATCATCATGTGTTAAACTAAGGTTTCATCACACAACAAGAGGGTTCCAATGTCATAGTACTGTGGTTTTGCTCAAACTCAATGTTTTCTCATGCACCAGAAAGGAAACAACAACAACAACAACAACAACACAGTTGCACATGTTTAGACCTTATCACAGTTTGAGGTCAAGATCACATCAATGCTACAAAGGGAAAGGAGATTCTTCTCCCACTTCACTGGTTTCAAGTCCTACAAAGATTCCAAGGGTATGTAACTTCACTAACTTTTAGGTAGGGATGAAAATGATGTAGGATTTCTATAAATAGAACTAGGCCTGATTTGATAAGTATCAGAGTTAAGTTGTGAAAATTTGTGGTAATGTTGTATTTACCTGAATTGCGGGAAAATACGATCATAATTGCAGTTGCGGAGACTGCCAAAACTATGCTTGTTACTTATCCACAATATCCACCGTCTTAGTTTAATTCCTCTTGTTTTGGATAACAACAGATATTTGAAATTGTGGTGGATAGAATGCTTGTTGTTCTGAAAGATTGGAGTTATATAAAGGTTGCTGGCATATTAGCATGCATTTTATTGTTAGTTCCATCAGCTAATGCTGTTGATGCTCTCAAAACTTGTACTTGTTTGCTGAAGGAATGCAGGTATAATAACATCTCGATTTCCTTCTTTCTTTTTCCTTTTTCCGAGACCTACTACGATAAAGACTTGGTTGTTATTGTTGCAGGATTGAACTTGCTAAGTGTCTTTCAAACCCATCATGTGCTGCCAATATTGCTTGTCTTCAAACTTGCAACAATAGACCTGATGAGACTGAATGCCAAGTTAGTATTTTAGTACTTCACGCCTGTTTTATTATTATGCCAATGTTTGGGTTAATAGCTTATTCAATAAGCTTTTGGAAATAAGCTAAAAAGAGCTTATTTTCACAAACTTCTCTAATAAGCATATTAAGCTAAAAAAAGCTTATAGAAAGGTGATGCGCTTGTTTATGCTCTTGTAAATGTTGCCTATATACTGATTACCAAGGAAGGTGAACTAATGTTATGAGAACTTTCTTGATTTTATAGATTAAATGTGGTGACCTTTTCGAAAACAAGGTGGTTGATGAATTCAATGAGTGTGCAGTTTCAAGGAAGAAATGTGTTCCGACGAAATCCGATGTAGGAGATTTTCCTGTTCCGAATGCTGATGTTATTGTTAAGAGCTTTAACATTGCAGATTTCAGTGGGAAGTGGTTTATCACTAGTGGCTTGAATCCTACCTTTGATACATTTGATTGCCAATTACATGAGTTTCACATAGAATCCAACAAACTTATTGCTAACTTGTCATGGAGAATAAAAACTCCAGATGCTGGTTTTATTACTAGGACAGCTGTGCAGAGATTTGTGCAAGATCCTTCTAATCCAGGGATCCTCTATAATCATGATAATGAGTACCTTCACTATCAAGATGATTGGTAATTTCATTCAGCTCTCTTTTCAATTTTTACTCAACTAAACATGTCTAGGTAATTGGCTACTACAGTCGTGTCGCATCTCGGTAAACAACTTAAGTAATTGGCTACTACAGTCGAGTCGAGTCGCGTCTGGGTAAACAACTTAAGTAAGTGCTTAGTAAATCGGCATTTATTACATGACTGCTTATGACATTCTTATAAGCTCTTTTTAGCTTATTCCATAATCCTATATTATTGTAATAAGTGTAGAATAAGCATATAGAAGGTCATAGCTTATATTGAAGGATGTAGATGTTGTCATGAACCAACTCCTCCAAAGCATATATAAGGTCTAGCATTGGTACTTCAAGATGGTTTTCATACTAATATTTCGTACATACCTCAATACTTTTTCGTTATTATATAATCTTTCAAATACCGTGTATCCGTATCCGTATTTATTTGTTAAATTTGGCATTTTGCACCCTTAGAAGACTACCAACTGTAATATGCAGGTTTATATTGTCATCCAAGGTTGAGAATAGTGCAGATGACTACATATTCGTGTACTACCGAGGCCGAAACGATGCATGGGATGGGTATGGTGGTGCTTTTGTGTACACAAGAAGTGCAGTTTTGCCTGAAACTATAATCCCTGAACTTGAGAAAGCAGCTAAGAATGTAGGAAGGGAGTTTAGTCAGTTTACCAAAACAGATAACAGTTGTGGACCAGAACCTTCACTTGTGGAGAGAATAGAGAAAAAAGTAGAGGAAGGAGAGGAAACAATTGTGAGGGAAGTTGAAGAATTAGAAGGAGAAGTAGAGAAAGTAGGGAAAACAGAACTCAACTTGTTTCAAAAGTTAACTGAAGGCTTGAAAATACTACAAGAAGATGAAGAGAATATCTTAAGAAGTTTATCAAAAGAAGAAATGGAGATATTGGATGGGCTGAAAATGGAAGCAGCTGAAGTAGAAAAGCTCTTTGGAGGTTCTTTGCCTTTAAGGAAACTAAGATAAATCACAAAAAAATGAAGTCCAACATAAACTTATTGGCTTCATCATAGTTTTGTTTAATCATGTTAACTTTCTCTTTTGAGTTTCTTCTCTCAACTACAAATTATAATACTATGTAACTGGTTTGGAGGTTTAAAACTAAACTCCAAAATCAAAATGAAGACAAACCTATCTCTGGCTATTTCTATGTAGGTTTCCCTTGGTAATATGGTATATTTCTTCTTTCCTTCAGGGTATGTCCTTTATGTGTTTGTTTGTTCAATCATATTCATTTATTACTACTAATGAATAAAGTAAAGCATAGGCCACTATGTACAATGAATCTTAGGAATCATCATATTTGTAGTTAGACCCTCAATCTTCATTAATTCTTATATATGCATATAATTAGTGTATGACTAGTCATTACATTATCAAGAATCTGAAATAGTTAGTTATGAATGATAGCAACTTCCAATATTCTAGCCCATAAAGAGAGACCCTACACCCTTACCAATGAATACCACATACTATAGTCTATAGCATAGCACCTTCATCAAAATGCAGACAACTTGTCACCAATCAAAATTGGTTGGCAATGTGACAAAATAGTTACAAATTTAGATATCAAAACATCATTCAAGGCCACCCATATGAGGAAATTGAAGAATATAACTTTATATGCAACCTATGGTAAATAAAAATATAATATACAAAGAAAAATATGAAAACTTTGTTCCTATTTGCATGTTAAGTAAGGTAGTGTATGCAGGTAATGTACATAATATGTGAACTTTGTTTTTTTCTTTCCCATTGTAAAAGCTACCTGAGGTAGTCTTTGTTTTTGTACAGAAGATTAATCCAATACATTTGTTTTTACAAAGACTATAATTTTTGAGATATAGTTTCATTAAGCAGTGTGTGTTAAGTAGATAGATCTATTAAGCCTCTCAAGAATCCCATTAGCTTTTCTTTTTGCCCTTGATGTACCACATTTTGCAAGGTTAGACAATGTACCATTGGCTTTTTCTTCTTCTCTAATTTCCTTCCACTTTGTTCTATCACTGTAGCAGACTGTATATAAGATTGCAACACAATTTTCCTTGCTCCTTTCTGACACGGCAGTCTCCCTTATAATGCCGAGCAAGCAGGGTACAGCACCAAGGTCGCCGATTTCTTCAACAGCCCGGGGGTGGCTTGAGAGGAGTGCTAGTATAGCCAACAACTCATCAACAAGAATGTTGTCGACGATCTTCTTTAGAATAACCTCGACTGCGCCTTCTTTCACAGCCCTGCATTTATTCTCATGCACAAGACATAGGTTGAATATGGCTGATGCAGCATCTTTCATGGCTAATAGATTTCCCTCATCTAAAAGGTCAAGCAAATGTTTCATGACACCAGATTTTCCAATGATGTGTTTGTTCGAATCAAGAGCCGATAATGTGAAAATAGCAGCCGCAGCATTGCTTCTTGTTTGAATGGTTCCAGTTTTCAATGCATCAATAAGCAGAGAAATAACATTAGGATCTTCTCCAAAAACTTTCTTATTATCATCATGAATTGACAGATTCAGAAGCGTTGTGATCAAGTCTTCATGGAGATCAGGATGCATAAAAGCCTTACTGGTTGATAATGGACTAAGCAACTGTGGAATTACATCACCGGAGAAA